GTCTAAATTTGCCAACCAAAGTAGGGATTTTAAAACCTAACCAACTAGTATCACTTTACTTGTTTGTGTATTTTTATTGCAACATATATATTGTTCTGGATACTTCTTATAGCAATTCTAAGAATAACCAACGATCCCTACTTTCCATTAAAATTTTAATTTTTTTCCCTATTCATTCATAATAAGGTTGTTTAACTAAAATTTGAATGTAACTGGAAAACATGATATTCACAATGGACTGATGTTGTGAAAAGGTTAAAATCTGCTTTACCTAAAACAGTCTGTATTTTGGCTCATGAATATTTGTTTAATATTATTATTTTTTTTCACATACATTGGAAGAAAATAATGCTAATTAGTGTAATTATTGTAAGAGATTTATTCAGTGAATAAAAGTAATAAACTGAGGTGATATTTTGTCATCTTTTTTAATTATTATTATGTTCATATTCTTTAGTTTAAAACATTTAATATATGTAACCTGTAGCTTGTTATGCCAATCATGAAAGTATTATACATTGATTTTTTTTGTAATTCTTTTTTTTAGTTTCTGTTGAGTGTTTTGTTGGATGGCTGATATATAATGTAGAAATTTTTTTGTTATTTTTAGCAGTGAACTAGAAGTGACACATTCTTTAAACTTAATAATGGCAGCCATAACAAGAACACCCCTTCAAACTGTTCATGAATCAGTTCCTGCAGATCGTGTAAGTTTCTTTGAAAACAGTATCATCATGCCCTTATAAAATAGTTTAAAGCAACAATATTAGTTAACTGTTGGTTTTATAGTGAAATCTCATAAAATGAAAAGCTGTAAAATTGAACATATTGAAGATTCAAAAATATTATGATGTATTTAATTTTCAGAAGTTGTTATATTACAAAACTGGTTTGAAATTTAAAAGTTTCATACAGATTTTAATACCAAATTTAAATTGTTTAATGTTGTAATCTGTGCAGGGTTATTCCTCAGTTTGAGTCTAAATGTAAGATGTTTAGTGCTGTATTTTGTGATGTGTGCAGGGTTATTCCTCAGTTTGAAACCAAATGTAAGATGTATAATGCTGTATTCTGTGATGTGTGCAGAGTTATTCCTCAGTTTGAAACCAAATGTAAGATGTTTAATGCTGTATTCTGTGATGTGTGCAGGGTTATTCCTCAGTTTGAAGCTAAATGTAAGGTGTTTAGTGCTGTATTCTGTGATGTGTGCAGAGTTATTCCTCAGTTTGAAACCAAATGTAAGGTGTTTAGTGCTGTATTCTGTGATG